CTGTTGCTTGGTTCCACTCAGAAATAACAAAGTTTCATTGTAGTGTATTTATTTATTATTTTCCCTTCGCATTTAACCCCTATTTTTCCCAAAACTAAATCTATTTCTGTTTTCTTTTTTTTCTTTTTGTATGCATTTCTGCCTCATTATGCAATTCAGGGGGCTGTCATTCAAGATGTGTCATGGTCAACTTTTTGCCCTTTGGTTGATCGATTTCAGATCGATAGGTCATCTTTACATGCCTGCCTCCCACTGAGACACTGTTGCACTGTGATTTATTATAACTTATTATTAGCAGTGGGGATTAGACACTGCCGTGGTGCTGAAAGAGTCCTCAGAACTAAAGTAGCCTGTAAATACACTCAGATAAGAAATGTACATTTTTATGGTTGAATTCATGAAAACATGACAACTCAGAACAAACACGACAATACACAAAAACAAAATAAAAAAAACAATAAAAACAATCACAAGACCATCACACCAAACCAAAATACAAATAAAACCCATATTATAAGAAACACACAAACCCACAATACACATCACCTGGCCCAGAAACTTGAATGAACAATTAATATAAAATTATATAAAGTAGATACATAAATAGTAATAACAAAGAAAAATACTTTGTTATTTACATATGAATACAAATATTAATATGTAAAAGGGATACTCCCAACAAAACTTGATTTAAAAGAAAACAAATAAATAGTAATGAAATAATATTAATAAACAAATAATTCCCAACAGGCTGACTGGAAAATGAGAGTCACTATACTTGGAGTAGATACTGTTGAGGGAGAATAACTCTCACCAAGTCTGTTCTTTGTCTCTGCAGCCACAGAAGAGCGCAACATCATCATTACAGCCTTGCTGACTTTCCACCAATCCACCTGCATTCGCTTTGTCTGGAGACAATATTTCCATCAGGATTTCATCCACTTCTTCTCTGGAACTGGGTAGAACACACACAGACACACACACACACACACACATATTATTGGCAAAAAGTACTAAAGTATTAAAAGAAAACTCTGCAAAAATAAATGACCACTGTGACTGAAATGTTACTGTATATGACATTATCAAGTGAATACTGATGCATCAATGTAAAACAAGCATTTTAGTGTTGTAGCTGTTTAAGGTGGAGCTAGTTTAGACTACTTTAGGTGTCGGGCCTCTCCAAAGGGTCACAAGGGATCGTGAGATGATTAATGGGAGAGTTTAGTGAAATATCTCTTTGGTGTAGCTGTGAACAATTGTTTTTATCATAACTTTTAAATCTTAATCAACATACCTCTTAGGTGAAGAACAAGCAGAGGAAAATACTGTACTTGTACTCTACTACATTTATCTGAGTATATTCATTTCACTGGCACTGTTCCAGAGAGCAGTTACAAATAATGTATTTTGTCGTTTGATAGGACTTGTTGGATGAGATTATAAAAGAGAGAGAGGAAAGTGATTTATTCCTGTATGGTCACTATAACAGTAGAAACAATTCCTTTTTTACTATGATTTCACTGTGTGTGTGTGTGTGTGTGTGTGTCTTTGTGTGTCAGGTGTTGGTCCTCCCTGGGGCGTCAAAGCCAAGGACAGACAATTTCCCTGAGGAAAAATGGTTGTTTGTACATTAACACGGTGCAGCACGAGGTTCTCCACGCTCTGGGCTTCCACCACGAGCAGGTCCGCTCCGACAGGGACACATATGTCTCCATCCTCACCCAGAACATTGAGCCAGGTCAGCTCACCCACAAAAACCTTTATTTCACAGTTCTGGTTTTATGTCTTATACAACGATGAGAACAATGAGGGCTGAATTTATAGCTCAGAGATTCCCAGATTAGTCAGATTAGATCAATAACAGAACGACAAGACTTCTACTGCCACCGATGTCATTAGTTTTGCAGGTATTTGGCCAACTGGACAAAAACACTGGATGAAAAGTTAGAGGATGCATGCTTCTTATTTTTTAAAAGGCTAGGTTTTATTTCTATTAAAATGAACAAAAATGTTTTTTTCACACCTAATTTTAGTTTAGTTTTATTTACCTATAATAACCTTGCCTTACTGTGTGACCAAAATGGTTTAAATAAACCAATTTAGCAGATTTTTAATATACTTTATATATGGTGTATATAGATCTTTGGAATATTGTATTTCCACCTTGTTTTAAAGTTGTGCTCACAGAATGTAAATTTGCATGCCATTTCTGGGAGTTTTGAAAATATGGATAAATGCAAGTAATGGAAGTCCACAACCTGTGTGGTTATCTAATAACCAGATAGAACAGAAACAGAAAGGTGGGTTTTGAAGTTGGGCATCAGGACAACAAAGATATTCATTCCTCATTGAATGTATCCGGTTGCATTGAAAAACACAGGTGCAACAACCACAGACATTTTCAACCAACTGTTACTGAAGGTCAAAACAGAACATTTACAATCTGTATTTAAACATTTTGCTCTGTTGTTCAGGAATGGAATCAAACTTTGTGAAGGTGGGGACTAACAACTTGGGCACGCCCTACGACTTCAACTCTGTCATGCATTACAACAAGTGAGTTATTGTCTGAGTACATTCATATATATTCATATCACCAATTACTTTGCTTTAATGTAAATCAGCATATGTATTCAAAGGAAAGAAAATCAAAAAGTTACATTGTTTCTTAATCAAAACTAATCAAAAGAAGCACCAAATAATTTAATTGTGAGTACCGACTCAGTGTGTGCTTGTGTTTGTGTGTGTACAGCTCTATATACAAAAATGTTGTGTTTGTGTCGTCCTCAAGATTCGCCTTCTCCAAAAACGGGCAGCCAACCATCGTCGCGAAGAGCAATCCAAGCCTTAACTTTGGACAAGCCACAGACATGAGCGTCAATGACATTGCTCGTGTCAACAGGCTCTACCAATGCTGTGAGTGAAAATAAACACTATATTATGTGCATAAGTCATACTGTCCTACACACACAGCTAATACATCCCACTACTGACTGGGTTACCGTGTAACAGTGCAGTAAAACATGGGAAAATAGGGTTAAAATAGGATTGAAATGTTGTATATCTGAGATGCTTTTCTATAAATCACAATATCATTTTTTTTCTCAACTAGGAATTTAATGTCAGAAGGACACAGCCACGCTCCAGGTACTTCAACTCACCAAAGGCCCAGATCTGTTGTACTGCAAGAATATTACTTCAAAGCAACACAAACTTGTCTTGAATATATAAATCTACTGCATAGCTGTGCATATCTGATATAGAGATCTGAAGTGGTGCCACACTTTTCTTAGCTTCTGTTTACATTCAGTCATATTAAGTATCCGTTACGACACTGGACAGGCAAATTTGCAACAAATCAATTGTAAAAACAGCATTTAGCACAGGGGATCGCAGTTTCTTTCTCTTGGAGGGCCAAAACTGAAACTTATTGGTGGGCCACGGGCCAAAAGCAAACACCTAATGTATTGTAGTAAGATGCAAAATGTTACCAGGATCCCAAGCTTCCTTTAATGACTTCCTACTCAAAGTGCAAACTCAGATAATGAAAAAGAATTGATAATTAGGGATCCTATATATTTAGAGAGCATTTTTACCCCACAACAAATACAATTATTTTTCAAATCGAACCTTATGGTGGGCCAACTTTGGGCAGCTCTGACTTAGCATCTGCAGCTAAGATAGGAGTTTGTTTCAGCTTGTCAGAAAGACTCATGAAGGAAAATGTTGGTGAGAAATGTTTGTGCCGGGGCTAGTGGAACAGAAGCACGCTTAAAAGGGGGCAGAG